CCGGCCCCGCTCCGCGCCCGCGGAGCTCCCGCTGCGCACCTGCGGCAGCTTGTCCTCCTGCCTGGGAAACCTCAGTCGGTCAGGTCTAATCACGCTCTCCACTTATGTCACCCGCTGTTATAAATAGGACAAAGATATATGCAATGTCTAAAAGGTCTGCTTTTTTTTGGAGAGAGGCTGGGGGATGTTCCTCAAAGGAGGTTTATTTGCCTGCTGTGCGTAAATTCGAAACTTAGAAATGTGGGTGGGAGGAGAATCATTTTTTTCTGCCCGTTTGCTTATTGTAGGATTCTTCTCCTTCCTTGTCCAGCCTTATCTTACACATTTAATGAAGACAGTGCTCAGATTCCCCTTCACGCGCACTGACCTGCCTCCGTGTCCTTCCTACTGCGTGACCATGGGGCTCTGGAAGGAGCTTCCAGCAGTCCATCCCACGTCCAGGCTCTCAGTGTCGTTCAGCTGCAGTTAGAGATCCCCCCCCCCCTTTTTTTTTTTTTTTTGGGGGGGGGGGACAGAGAAGGGGGAAAAAAGCATCATAATTTACTGAAAATATATATAAATGAATATTAGAAACCCAATGGAGTTTGCTAATTTCCTTGTTTCCCTCTCTACATCTTTGAGTTACAGTGCTACAGCGTTGTCTTGACATCAGGCTCCAAGCTGGTGGTGCTGAGTTTGGAAAGCTTTCATGCACTTCATTCCATCTTTGAATTGCACATGCTTTTTCTCTCATTTTTAAGGCTCTTTTCTGCTCCGGAGGAAACATGTTCTGACATGCTGGAGTTTGCTGGTGGTAAATATTTCCTTTGACTACAAAGTGCATGTGTGAAAAAGGCTTGTGTGGTTTTTTTTTTTTTTCATGGAAATATGTTTCTTTCTCGCTTGCTCCTTTCTTTGCTGTTATTAATAACCTGTAAACGAGTTGAATCCGGAGGTCTAAGTGAAATAGCACGTTCGGATCTGTACTTTCAGCCACACCACGCTGAGGAAAGTGCAGAAGCTCTGTATACGCGTGTGTGAGAAGGATTCATGCAATGCGTATGACAGTTTGCATACCAGAATCGGTGACAAAGTAGGGACCACAGGTGAGTCCCCAAGAGACCTGCTTTGCCGAGAGGATTTTTGCAGCCCCTAACCACAGAGAAGTATTCAGCTCTCCAGCTGCTCCCCAGAGTTGGCGGTTCTGATTTGTTTCAACTGAAAATAACCAAGAATAGAAAATGACACATAATAAAAAGTCCCCAGCCAAGCAGCCGTGTGCGCTGCGGTTCCTCTCAAATAAGTGCTCCCCCATGGGCTGAGGTCTCGGTGCCCGGGCAAAAGAAAGGGCTGCAAAGGGTTAAGCCGCTGACTTGCTTGCTAGGCAAAGTTTGAGGAAGAATATGTCTGAGGCTGAGTACGCTGCAGCCCCGCGTTTGAAATCTGTCACCCTCACTTAGGAGCTCTGCATCTCTGGTTGTCACCGGTGAATAATGACCACACGGCGATAAGATCGCTCCGTGGCGTTGCGCCGGAGCCGCCGGGGGAAAGAGAAGAAAGGAAATTACAAGCCGTTTAACCGCTTTAACAGGGTGTTCTTCAGTGGCATCGGTGGGTGTCAGGGTCAAATGACCGGCTGGACAGCAGCTTGGAAAGAAAATTTCCTTCCTCCTTTCCTTGAGAGAAACCTTGGGTGATGGTGACCATTGGCAGCTATGGAAAACAGAGACCTTGGTGGTCATCCTTAAAATAATACCATGCCGGAGCCCATCTGTTCTGCCACTTTCTCCCCTTTCAACCTGCCGGACCCGGTGGGCTTTGGGTGACCTACCGAGAAGGACCCACCTCCGCAGGAGCAGGTAACGGCTAGTTAAGTCACTTTCTAGATTGACACGATCTTGATTTGATCAAAGTGTGTCCTGAGTATCTTTCTCTGATTTGAAGTGTGGGCTGGTTGAGGGGCCAGGGGCAGGGAGGGGGACAGGCATAATTCCGCCTAGCCTCTCTGAGCCTGTGGGGCAGAGCAGCAGCCTGCAGCCTTGCAGAAGTTCTTCGCGTTCCCACTTTCCTCCGTGACTGAGGGCATAGGGGGCAGAAATGCCTGTGATCGACAAAGGTCTGCTTTGCCTTATGTGTTGTCGACAGGTTGCTAATATCGGGGACGTGGAGAAAGAAGAGACGGGTGGACAGAGGAAGAGAAAGACTTAGAAGGGGGATTTTTTTTCACGAGAAAATGCACCAGTTGTCCATCAGCTTCGGGAAAGAGAGATAAATCACGCTCAAATAAGTGCTCTGAAAAGTATGCAGAGCCTTAAAAAAAAAGAGAGAGAGAAAAAAAGACAGGTGTTAAAAAGTCAAAAAAGACCCAGAACCGCCTTTGAAAAAGGTTGTTCATTCGCCTTTGGACCCTACGGGGCTCCTGATCCTTTCATCCTTCAGGAACAGCTGGGAGCTGCAGGCAGAGACTCGACTTCAGAGCAGCTCTTTCTCCGAGCCGGGGATACAGGCTCTCCCCGCGGGTCTGACCCGTGCCAGACCCGCTCCTTCCCGGCCCGCTGAGCCCCGCGGAGGGTCCCGGGCGCACTTCCCTCCATCTCGGGGGCCTAGAGCAGACCCCGGCCCCGAGGCAGCGGTGCCGGGAGGGGAGCGGGGTCTCGTCCTAAACTCCTTTCTCCTCACCGAGTCCCCTGAGAAATGCCGGACTACCTGCGCTCCCCCTTCCGCGCCCCCCCCATCACTCCGCGCATCCACGTACGAGCCGGGGCTCTCCCCGCGGGTCTGACCCGTGCCAGACCCGCTCCTTCCTCCTTCCCTGAGCCCCGCGGAGGGTCCCGGGCGCACTTCCCTCCATCTCGGGGGCCTAGAGCAGACCCCGGCCCCGAGGCAGCGGTGCCGGGAGGGGAGCGGGGTCTCGTCCTAAACTCCTTTCTCCTCACCGAGTCCCCTGAGAAATGCCGGACTACCTGCGCTCCCCCTTCCGCGCCCCCCCCATCACTCCGCGCATCCACGTAGGTGAGGGCACAACCTCTCCTGCGAGCGGGCAGACAGCGCAATGGCCAGTGATTCAGCTTTTGAGGTACGGCTGAGCAGAAAATGCAAGCTAGTGAGCAGCCAGGGGTGAGGGGGAAGCAAACCCCGAGGCATTGCAGTTGCCTTTTCTGTTTCCTCGACACATGGCATTGATCAGCTCTCCTCTTCTCTCCTCCATCCCTCCCCAGCCCCTCTCTTAAAGTAACTCGCAGCAAAAGCCGTATTGTGCATTTTCTTTAGTAATGGAGGAGTTTGAGGCAAATTCTCTTCGCACACCCCACGTCCTACCTTGACGGTTGTATCCTATCGCTCAGGTGCTTCTCGGTATTAAATAGCCTTGCCTTTAAGTGGACTTGTCAGGACAAGGCAGTAGCTTACTAGGGAACTGGGCGGCGGGTGAAGGGTTACCCCGAAACAAGCGCAGGCAGCCAGGGATGTATATACCCACGCACGCACACACACACACGAGCACTCACACGCACTGACTGTGCACAGGAGACATTGTGTGTGGGGGGGTTGTTACAGCTTTAGGGCAAAAGGCGGTTTCTCCAGCGGTTTTAAAGTCTTTCTGACTGATGATGGAAATCAGACGGAATACTAAAGGAGGTCCGTCTCTCCCCAGAGGGTTGGACTTTCTTTTATTCTGTGTTATATTTGTTATGTACTGCTATCGCCTACCTAAAAGTTCGCAGGGGGGGAAGGAGAGGGAAAGAAGGGGGCGGGGGAGGCGGGCTTGTCGGTGGCTGCACATGAAATATCGCCATGTTGGTGGAGAGCACGGCTGTAATTATTGCTAGCGAGGGCATCTCCCTGTTAGGACCGCAGCTCGGGGAGTTCTTCAGCTCACTCCCCGGTTTCCCTTCCGATACACCCCCAGAGTTCCCAGAGCAGCGGGGCCGAGGCAACCCCGCCGCGAAGGGCGGCGATACCCGCACCTTCTTTTCCCGCAGCCCCGG